ATGCTTGTGTGTGCGCGCCGCTCCGTGCGTGACTGTCTTTGCGTGGTTTGATAGTGAGCCTGATGTCACACCAGCAAAGTTTGGCTCACAAGATGCACACTTGTAACGCACTCGGAACGCACAAAGGCCAAACATCTACCGCGTAGCCTGTACAGGCTTTTGGGACCTGTTATAACGCTGGAGCGGACGCACGAGAGGGTGATGTGTCGAGCACCACGCCCGGCTGCCTTTGTCTCCCCAGTTGCTAATGTTTACCAACTGCATCCAGCACACTTGTTTATGGTTGAGTAAAGATGTGGGAGAACCAGGACTGGTTCTGACATCGCTCGCTGCTGATGTTGCAGTGGATGGGAATTGAACTCCGGTTGACGGATTTTTGAAGCGGCGCACTAACTAGGCCACTGCTGTCCCCATAATTTGAACACGCGCACACAATTTTGATTTAAAGCTTTCGTGACTGCAGGGATTCATATACTTGGTTCTTTCGGTAAAGTCACGTAGAAGGGAAACAATAAAATAACACAAATATAAAACAATAACATTCTCACGACGTTTCGACTGCAACACAAGCAATCATCATCAGGTGTGAAAACCACAACAAGAAAATTTGAAAAAAGTGGCGGTTATTTTTAACGTTAGCACCACGGAGAGAGATTTGACAGTTTGTTCAGATGTTTGTTCAGATTGTTTCCCTTCTACGTGACTTTACCGAAAGAACCAGGAATACACACACACACAAAACAAAGACCTCCTGTATAGCCTAAGCAGACTGTTGGGGCAAGTGCTGTTTGCGAGCACCTATGAAGGCCGGAACGGCGCACGAGGGAGTGGGTGGCCAACACCTCGCCCGGCCGCCTTTGTCTCCCCAGTGGTGCTATTTACACACCACACCAGGTTCTCATTTGAGGCTGAGTCAACCTAGGGGAAACCCAGGACCAGTTTAGATAATCGTCACTGGCGTTGGCCGTGGGCGGGAATCTCACTCGGGTTGCCAGCTTCGTAGCTGCCCCCATACGCACACGAACGCAGGCACATACATACACACACACATACACACACATACACACACACAAACACGGCACGCAATTGTACACGCATCCCTGTTCTACCCTTGGAGGCTCACATGCACACAGGAGGTTTCATCGCTGCACAGTTTCATAAATTCGACTGACAACGCTTTACCGACACCGACAATTGTCCCCCCCTCCCCCCACAGCTTTATGAAACCTCTGGTGCCAAAATATTTTTTGAACATTTTGTTATATTTTACAAAAAATGGTGGGGGGGGGGGGTATGTGGGGGGGAGAAACAAATAAAACCGTTCAGAAATTGGATTCTTCCTCCCAAATACGAGAGGCAGAATTTTAAGGTGTGCAAATGTCCGCACAATCTGGCCGGCCGGCTCCAGCAAGTTGAGCCCAGCGACTCGCAGATTGAAGGTTTGCAATTTTAAAGTCTGGTTGGTGGGTGGGGCGGGGGGGGTGGTAGGGGGTTTACCCAGCCCCATCATCCCTACGCGGTCGATAAAATGAGTCGCCACTTTGCGGGGACGTCAGCAGTGGTAGCTCTATGGAATAGACTCGCCATAGGAATTCCCACCGCTGGCTCAGGGCTGAAAAGTGGAGATGAGCACCAATGCCTCGATGCTGGCGGGAGCTGCGACTGGTGTTGTGTGTCTTTCCAAAGCTTAACGAGTGAGCGAGCGAGCGTCGGCGATGATGTAATTACGATTTTGAACTTATACAGCGTCCTAACGCTGCCGCGTCTGCGGTCGCTCAACGTCACGCCACGCCTCTCAGGTGTCCCCGTCGCGTTTATTGTCCGTGAGATTGCGCTGAGCCAGCTTTTAAGGCCCCATTATCGTTTGATTTGCCACCCATCGCTGCAGCGGCAGTCCCAACGGAACTCCCGAGCTTTTACCAAACACCCGGTCGAGAAATTATGCTTTTTCAGCATAGAGCGTGTAAAAAAAAAATATATGTTTTCCTTACAATTTTCTAATGATTTTTTTAAAATTTCGATTTGTCGCAGTTGCGCTATTGGCATTGTCACGGGACGGAGATAATCCATGAGGAAACCTCACGGAGTGGTGTGGTAGCGTTGGCACGCGGACCCGCGAATGGCTGCGGAAGATTTTTTTTTTCCCCCGTGAGATTTATTTCCTGAAGAACCCGGCCCGACTATCCCACACACAGCTTGGAGGGGGGGGGGGGGGCGGTGGGGGGGGGGGGGGGGTGTCTTGGCACTCTAGGCTACGGCGTCGTTTGTTGCGTGACGGTCAATCCCATATTCATCCTTGTGTCAGCTGGAATATGGCCACATGAAGCGAATAATCAACTTCAGTGTGATGGGCGGGGGGTTTGTTGTTGTTGTTGTGCGGTCATTATCGATCGAGCTGAGACCATCACCTCCGCTACCTTTAAAAACTCGGTTTCAACCCCCTTCAGGGCGTCTCCTCCAGTGGGCATTGATTTTTAAGATGATTTATTCAGGTATTAAGGTACCTCCACCCCTTCCCTTCACCCCCCCCCCCGGCCCCCCTTTTATTTTTGCCTTCCCCTCCCCCAACCTTCCCCCGAGTGCAAGGATGGGCACCCAAAATAAGAAGAGCCATTTTTTTCGAATTCGGTACAAAACTCAATATTTCAAGAGCCGCAACGCACGTGAACACGTACACACAGACAACAACAACAACCGCCATTCGCCACTAAGTGGCGGTGACGTCACCACGACGCTTGTGCCAGGCCACATGAAGTGTCGAACGCCCGCTGGCAGGAGATCACGGGGCAGACCCGGGTGCCACGGGTCGACTGACTAAGATGACCGAGATGACTGGCTGATGCACCACCTATGCCCCCTACTGTGCCAACTTGCTGTGTATTAGCTTTCCGGCGCTCCGCTCGTTGTTGTGAGCGTCGCTCCTCCGCCCTCCGTTGTTGTTGGAGGGCGACTGCCTCCAACTGCCCAGTAGCGTCCTTCACGAGCCTCCTCCACAGAGGCCAATCTTGACACTGCTGTACTAGTCATAGGCAAATCCACTCAGCTCCACATCCTCTTGTACCACATCACTCCATCTCTTATCTAGCCCCCAGGGTCTGGAATGCTATTGCCAATAAACTGCAACTTGAATCACTACCTATGAGATCTTCACTCAAAACTGCTCTAGAGGAGTTGTACACCCCTAGCTGCCACTGCTATTCAGTGGCCTAAAATAAAATTAAATGTTTCACTCCAGATGACCGCTGCAAAGTATTATCTGTATTTTGATTTAGTGTGCTGATCATAAAGGTGCATTGAAAAATGTGATTCTCCGACTGATGCTCCTGTTGTTGTGGAGTGACTCATGCAGCCAGCTATGACTCTAGGGTTTGGTGTTACATGTTATTTATGTAGTTTATTGTTAAAAATTCGGTCACAGTCCCTATGATCACTTTTACATTGCATTTATGGCTTTATTTTGGTGATTTCGAAAAGTTTTTTGGTTTGGCCATGGTTTTGTTTGTTGTAGTACAGAGTTAGACTGATGGCCTTAATCTAAGTTGTCTTGTGGTTGTTGTTGTTTGACTTGCATCCCACTGGGATTTTTGCACACAGCGTTGGTGTACGGTGCTTTTTCAGGAATATTTTGATGTTTTTTCCTGGATTTTCTGTTTGCACAGTCACATAGTCACTTTAAGATGTTTTTCTTGTTAATGTTTTTGTTTGTTGCGGTTGCATCCGATTCAAGAGCCGAATGGCTCACAGGGCTATACCAAATAAATGAACTGAACTGAAATGAACTGAACTGTGCCGCGCCCATTTAGCCCCCTCTATCCGGCCGAACAAAAACTGTTTCGGCATGCGGTGGCTGGGCATGTGGGCTACATGACCCAGCCAACGCAGCCTTGCCTGCCAGAGGAGCTCACCGATGGGACTTTGCCCAGATCTTTCAAGGATTTGTGAGCTCGCACAATCCAGCCTGGTTAAACCCAGGATGGATCGTAGGCAGGCCAGCCTAAATGTTTCTAACCGGCGAAGATGTTTCTTTAGGGGGGTCCACATACAAAGACAAAGATCCCCCTATAGCCTTAACAGACTGGAGGGGCAAGTGCTGTTAGCGAGCACCTATAAAGGCCGGCACGTCACACGGGATGGGTGGCCAACACCACGCCCGGTCGCCTTTGCCTCCCTAGTGGCGATGTTTACACATCGCACCAGGTACTCATTTGAGGCTAAGTCGACCTAGGGGAGGCCCAGGACCGGTTCAGATAATCGTCACTGGTGTTGGCCATGAGCGAGAATCGAACCCGTGTCGTCAGGTTCGGAGCGCAGCGCGCTAACCGCTACACTACCGCTCCACATACATACACACACATACATATACATACACACATTTTGTCACGAAGCAGTCCGTTAAGAACCACATGCGGCTCTGGCGCTGCAGGTTGCCGACCCTTCCCCTAGAGGGTTATCCAAGTTAAGGAAGCAGACACCAGGGATGATGAGTTTATTGACACACGTGGCCAGTAAACGTTTCAAAATATTAAACGTTGGTAACAATCATTCTACTTCGCATTGTCTCTCTATTCTGTCGTTAATTCCCGTGCACGCCCTCTGTGTATACCTGGATCGTTTGTGCGATAAAATTATTTTGGAAAAGAAACAAAAAGCCGTTTTAATCACGGGCGGCTAAAATAAAGCGCGACTCATATACGCAGGATCTCAGCGGTACGGTCCCTGTGCTCCGACAAACGGCCGACCGTTCAACATACGTGCATGCTCGTGTTGAACTTCTTTCGCACTGTACTTAGCCGGCCTGCGCTAATCGGCGGTGCTCGTGAGTTTGCGCACCTGCCTGGAGTGGCGAAAACGTCCACCGCTTTGCTCGCTCATCGACACGGTTCTCTGCCATCCTTCGTGAGCCTGCGGCCTGGGATTGCATAAACTCTGGGAGTCTAATTTCCGTGCTGTTTGTTTTGTGTGTGTGCGCACGCGTGTGTTTTGTGGGTGGATATTTGCAGGATGCCTCGAGGCGTCAGCCGTCCTGCGAGCTCGATGATGATGACCTCATGCTTGAACTCGATTTTCCGGATGAAGCCTCTCTGCTGGCGGCAGCCGCGGAAGCCGGTGAGTTGGGTTGAGGGGGTCAAAGAAAGTAAACCTTTGGGAGGCAGTACAGCAAGTAACACACGTGGCCACCGGTTTTTCACGGTTGTGCCACGCATGCTCTCCCGACGCGGTTTTCAGGGCGGACCGCGTGCTGTCTGGCACGATGTGTCAACGATTGTGCCCCACGTGGGTTGATTCCGCTTTCTGACAAAAGCTCCCAGCGCTTTTTATCGTTTTGCTGGTTCTGCCAGGAAAGACTGACTCAAGACCCCTTTTTTAGGAGGGTGCTGCAAGTTTTTTGCAGTTGCACTTTGGCTTTCAAGCATTTGGATATTGGGCCAATTACGCTGGGGGGGGGGGGGGTTGTGCTTTTTAGATAAGCGAGGAAACTGGAGAACCCAGGGGAAACCCATGCAGAACAGGGGGAGAACGTACAAACTCCGCACAAAAGAGGCGCCAGAGTCAAGGAATCGAAGCCAGGCCCTCCGAGTTACCACCGCGCTACTTGAAGCCAGATGTCGCACGTGATGCGAAACGACGCGTGGTACAACAAGAGTGTTTTTTTTCACGAGCAAGTTATCATTCTTGGGGGGGGGGGGTTTCTTCTTTCTATTTTTCTCAAGAGTGTAGTTGACCAAAATTAGAAATTGGCTAAACACGGTAAACAGGACCCTCCTGAAAATTGTGTTGGGACTTCCCGAAGCTTTCCTGAATAAATAAAGGAATTATGGAAACCAAGTCTTTGTCTCTGCAGCTGATTGATCAATCGATGTGCGTTGTTTTTCTGGCCTGCTGGATGATTTAAAAGGAACGCTTATATATTATGTCTGCACACCTGTGTGTGGCTTGAAGATAAAGCTTTTAGGAAGTACTCTACTCTCAGAAGTATATTGTAGAGGTTATATATTTTCCGTATTCAATAAGGCTGTGTTATTGAAGTGACGGATTCCAACAAAAGGAAATATCTAATGCCAATACGGTGAAAATTACACAAGGCCATGGGAGGGAGGGTGATGGTGGCATAGTGGTTAGCACGCTGCACTATCATTATCCAGGGCTTTCATTTTTTTAATGAATCGTTTTCAAGTTACATTGCGTGGCCGCGATTCATTTTAGCACAATCGGTGCACGGTCGGTGATTTTTCTATAAATATATACGCATTTTGTTTGTATTTCTCAGTTAATTTTTTGGCACAGAAAGTCGGTTTTGCCGGAGGCGTTGAGATTTGATATTCGGGGAGGAATTGGCGAGGCTGATGAAGAGGGTTCGGGGGGGGTGATGGTGGAGGCGGGGAATGGTGGATTCTCTGCCCGCGCGTGGCGACGTCTGCTCGACTTTCCATCCGAAAATGCCCGCCCCTGCCACCAGCCCCCACGCGAGCGCCGACGGTGACCTTTGTCGTGTGAAGTGTGCGTTATGAGGTCAAAAACGCACGCGCTCAAGATTAATGAGGGAGCTGCCGCATCGTGTCACCCACTGATTGCCGTTAGCTTTCCTTTCATTCGTTCTCCCCTCGCTTTGGCAATAATATTATTATACATTTCTTCGCTTTTTGCCGTGCGGCATAAATACATAAGCGGGGCCCCCGTATTAATTCCCCTGCACAATGTCATTACTTAAGAATTCCACATTAATATTTCACAGCTTATCGACGTAGGCAAATATAAAAAAAAAAAAATGCGGTGTGAGCAAGTGCTTTGCCAGAGATTGATTGAAAATGAGATGCGCTTGGCCTCCTTAATTGAGGCTCGTTCAGTTACTGTGCTCCGGAGTTGTGTGTGTGTGTGCGCGTGTGTGCGGGCGGGTGCACGTGTGCGGGCGCGTGTGAGTATGTGTGGGTATGTGCGTGTGTGGGGAGCGGTAGTGTAGCGGTTAGCGCGCTGCGCTATGAACCCGGCGACACGGGTTCGATTCCCGCTCACGGCCAACACCAGTGGCGATTATCTTAACCGGTCCCGGGCCTCCCCTAGGTCGACTCAGCCTCAAATGAGTACCTGGTGCGGTGTGTAAACATTGCCACTAGGGATACAAAGGCGGTCGGGCGTGGTGCTGGCCACCCACCCCCTCGTGTACCGTTACCGGCCTTCATAGGTGTCCGCTAGCAGCACTTGCCCCTACAGTCTGTTAAGGCTATATGGAGGATCTTTGTATGTGCGTGTGGCTTCCCTCACTGATAGTCAGGGTAAAAGTAATTGCCATTCTTTAGATTTAACCCTTTGACCTTCTGAACAACACTGGACAAATTAAATTGCGACAAGGACCTCCGCTACCCACGCAAACAGCTGTGTTTGTGTAATGTGAACCTGTGCAGTAATGCTCTGGGCCCTTACGCTGGGAAGACAAAGATCCCCTGTATAGCTGTAACATACTTTTGTGACAAGTGCTGTTAGCGAGCATCTCTATGAAGGCCGGCACGGCACACAAGTGGAGGGCCCATCACCATGCCCGGCCGCCTTTGCCTCCCCATTGGCGATGGTTACACATCACACCAGGTACTCATTTGAGGCTTACTGGTGTTAGCCATGCCTGGAAATTGAACTCGGATCGCAAGGTTTGTGGTGCGGCATGGGATCTCCTGCACCCCACCGCTGAGCTCTACTAGACATGCAAGCCATTAACGAACTAATAATAAGAGCTGTTAGCGAGCACCAATGAAAGGCTGGAAAGCTACACGAGGGGGTGGGTGGCCAGCACCACGGAAAGGCTCAGAACCACATTAGGATATCACTTACCACTGATGTTCGCCATGGCCAGGAATTGAACCCAAGTGGTTGGCTTCATAGCGCAGTGCGCGAAACCACTACAAGGACAAAATTCACCCATATAGCCTTAAGAGACCGTAGGAGCAAGTGCTCTAAGCGAGCACCTATGAAGACTGACACGGCACACGAGGGGGTGGGCGGCCAGCGCCACACCCGGGCCCACCTATGTCTCCCGAGTTGCGATGTTTACACATCGCTGCACCAGGCACTACCGTGCACACTTGCACGCACCGTTCATCTCGGGCAGCCGAGCCCTGGATTCAAGCGCAGGATCTCGGTGGTCCTGGATCGGTGCTTTGACGTGGAACGGGCAGATTGCTCGTTGTGTTTGCAGATTGCCGCTCCCTCTCTAAAGATAATGATACACTTGAGTAACATTCAAGGGTTATCACTGACACTGGCAACAGATGCCACGGAGCGTTTATATCGCAAAGACGTTTTGGTTGCTCGTGGAAGGGTGACGGCGCAGCCCTTCAATTGCTTGCTCGCGCCACTGCTGGCAGAAGGGCCTCCGCTTGGGAGCACTGCTCCGGAGTGCTTGGCCTACTCTTCCATACTGGCCAGAAGGTGATGCGACCCGCAGGTGTGGTGGTTGGTTGAACACCCTGCAGACGAGATGAAAGAGTCATTCTGGTCGACGGAGTACTCGGCATGGGCAGCGGGGAATGGACGAGTGGACGTTCACGGGAGCAGCGGCCACGGGTGCGAGAAGTCGGGGCTCGTGGGGGTCACGTTATGAGGGGGGGGGGGGTCAAGGAACGGGCGGTTGGTAGCAGTGACGGAGAGATTTCACGGCATTGGGGGGGCGGGGGGGGGGTGCAGGGGGGCGAGCGTCGTACGAGAGCTCTGTCTGCAGAGACTCAAAGCGTGCGGGGGTCTCCTGGCGCGGCTTTATAAACTCGAAGAATGCGAACGCGTAGAAATGATAACCGCGGCAGTGGCGATAGAAGAGTGACGCGGAGACGACTGACCGCCAGCGGGCGGAGTGACCGGAGTGAGTCCCCCCGCATCATCGATCAACCCGATGACTGCCTTACGTCGATTCCCATCGGGGCGCGGCGAGGTCGGGAACTCGCCTCCCCGCGCCGCACCTCCGAGTTCCCCGCACCTCCGATTGGCGCGGTTGGCTACGTACGGCGCGAAAGAAGTTCCACGTACAGACGGGGCAATGACGGCGGCGTTCCAACTTCATCCGCGGCGCGGGGGGGGGGGAGGGGGTAAGCGGAACCCGACGGCCAGGGAGGGAGGTGGGAGGGGGGGACCTGGCGTGAGTCGTTGGTGAAAGGCCGGCTGGCACCAGTGAAGCGTTCCCCCCCCACCCCTTCCCCGCCGATATTCGCCGCGGAAGCGATAACGGCGGCACCGCCGCCGGCGCTGACCTCGGTTACAGTGCCGAGGCTGCGATTATTTTTTTTTATTTGGATAAAAATAGGACGGGCAGTGCTGTCTATCAAATTGTGCGTTTCAATTCTGCGTGTGGCTTTGTGTGTATTTGTCTGTGCGAGCGATCGTTTGTGTACGGCGGGAACCTGTAAATTATTCTGAGCGTATAGCTGCGAACGGTAAAGGTGCAGTCCTGCAATTTCATATTCACTTCACTGCTGGCAGAACCACGAGAGGGGAGAGCTTCAGAGGGGGGGGTGTTGGTGTCTGGCATCGTCTTTCACACTGACGGGACGTCGTGGATGAAGTGGGAGTGCCCACAGTTTTCCCCACCGCGCACGATCAGCCGATGAACAAATCGTGGTGGACTCATTTATAACTTGCCAGACTGCGAATGCGGAACCCACCACCTATCACTGATGACTGCCCCAATACAACCACGTGTACTCTGGTGGAGCAAGCGGACTACTCCACTCAGCTACCCCGATACAGTCACACGTACTCTGGTGGAGCAAGCGGACTACTCCACTCAGCTACCCCGATACAACCACGCGTACTCTGGTGGAGCAAGCGGACTACTCCACTCAGCTACCCCGATACAACCACGCGTACTCTGGTGGAGCAAGCGGACTACTCCACTCAGCTATCCCCGATACAACCACGCTCCAGCGCACCTTTGTCCGCTTGTGCCCGTGGCTGACATCAATGGAGAATCTCGTTTCCTTCCCCCGATTGAGCAGGATGGGAGCCGGGGTGAAATGTGTCCTAACATTGTGCAAGCAACGAAATGATGGGTGGATGGAAAGAAATGGGGGGGGGGGGGGGCGGTCAGGGCAGTGTGATTAAAATGAGAGAAAAATAGAAACCCTCCC